TCAGATTGGGTGTTAAAGATGTCTGTCTGGGAGAAATATTTTCTTAGAAATTGTTCCCATGTCGGGGCTGGGATAACCGTCAATGGGTATTTCCTCGAGCTTTTGTTGATTAAATTCCAAAAACCGCGAGAGCTGCGGAGCTTAGAAGCAACAATCAGCGCTTGCCAACGTCTTAGCTGCCACTCGTGCTTGGCTGACTTCTGTGCCTGTTTGTAAGCAATTTTGGCCTGCAAGTACTCTGGGGGGAGAGTTTCAGCTCCAGAGGCTTTATATCTGTTGTAGATACAACAGAGAGAGAGTCTAGCTTGCTTACATTTGGCCTCAAACCAAGGTGCACCGAACCTGGGTTGATCTCGGTTAGCCAGGTGAGCCGGCATCGTAAAGAAGCTAGTTAAATCTGCAGAGAAGTGGAAGAACCACTCCAGTATCCTATTTGGCTCAGACAGCTCCGCCAATGAAACAATAAGGGATTCGGAGGTATTCCTCTGGAAGAATTCTGCATATTTTTGGGCCTGTTTCATGGACCATTTAATGCCTCTTACTTGAGCTGTGGCATTTAAACCTACATGAATTGGGTGTGTTCCACTAACCGGGTGCCAATCAAGCGTTAGCTTGGCCGCTAGAGGTAGGTGATCACTGGATTGTACATTATCTACTTTGAGATAAAAGAAGTTTGAAAATAGGTCTTCTGAGACTAGAAGATAATCTAGGACACTATTTGATGTTGTGCCCAAATGAGTGAATTCACCTGGCACGTCCGGGGGGCAGTTGCCATTTAGAATGTTCAAATTCATACGAATGGCCAATTGATAAAGAAGGACTCCCGCCTCATTCACTCTGTTGTCCTTAGATCTTCTTGATGTGAAAGATGTGAAAGAGGTTAAATCAGATTTTGGGTAGGGGGGAGATACCCACCACTTGGCCTTAATTATCCCATTCCAGTTGGCAGCTGTACGTGCATTGAAGTCACCACCCATTATCGATGGAATATTAGGGTACTTAACATAGCATGCCAATAAATGTTCTTCCAGAGAATCCCATCTATAATGAAGGTCTGATATCAGACCACCCGGAGGAAGATAAACATTGGTGATTAATAGTGAGAATTTTTCACTTGAAATCAGACCAGTAAAAGCAAAAGGAGGAAAGGTATGAACTAGCGAGAGTTTAGCTCTCATTTTAAGCGATATGGCGATTGCAAGACCGCCTCTGGACCGGCCACCTTTCTGGGAGGGGGTAGCTGGAAGTGATATCAGTTCAAAGCCATTTATATCTATTTTATCTTCTTCCCATGTTTCTTGTAACAGGATTATCTGGAAAGAGTTTATATAGGGCATAAATTCGGGATCTAATCTTTTCCTTTTCCAGCCAGCAATGTTCCAACTTAGGACTGCTAGCTGGGGACTTCTGTGTTGTTCTTTTAACAGTCAAGACGGAGGGGGGGCAGACTCTCTGTTAAAGACAGAAGATGTAACAAAAAAGTCAGTTATTTTACTTTGGGAAGGTGGTAACTGTGAGGCGCCCTGCAACTTAAAGTTTTTAACAATTTGGTTCGACTGTTGGCACACCGTGGATGATCCACTGAAAGTAGATCTCTGAACAGGAACCTGGTGAGTAGAGATACTATTTGGCGTTTTTAGCTGTCGAGCCCAACTAGGCTCTGCCGAGTCCGCTGGAGCCGTCCTCTTTGGGGATCTAACCAATACGCTTGTGATCATTTGATTTATATGTCCTGCTGGGTCTTCAGTCCACTCTGTGTTGACTCTCGGCACTGTAGTGTCTTCCTCACGTAATTTTTGGATTTTTGGTGGAGACGCCTGACTTGGAGTGGCCACTACCGTCACAGGTCGTGGATGGTCTTCGATGTATGTTGATTCCAAGTCCGGCATGGAGGGATGCAGAGGCGACGATTTATCCGAGGGAGTGTTATCCTGAGATTCATTCTTTGATCGGTTAATCTCAGAGGGAACAGTTAAGTCTATTAAAAGCAGGGATGTGTTACCAGCGTGAAGGGGAGGAGAAGAGTCTGCCTCCCGCTGTGAGACCTTCCCATCCAATGCCGATGGCACCTTGTATGCTGGATATTGGGGGCTTGTTGTTTCCACCTCCATGGGGCATGGCACCGCTAAGTTAGAGTGGGTATTCTTCCTAGGAACTCCGTTGCAGGCGATACTTAGGAGCTGAAGTTTAAGTGAGTCCAGCCTATTTATAATTTCTTGTTGTTCCCGCGCTGGTAACTCTCCAAAGGAGGCAATAAGCTCTCTTTCCTCCTGGGGTGTCAACGAGTTACTGGCACAATCATAGTGTTTAGTTGAAGAAGTGGGAGTACTATGGGACTGGCCCAGACATGAGGTGTACAGCTCAGCCCTCTTTTGTGGTTCAGGGTGGGAAGGTTGTACCGTCTCCTTGATTGATCCCTCCAATAGGAGGGGTCTAATTATGGCGTCCATGAAAACTCTCGTTGGAAAAATGCCAAGACTATTCAGAAACAATTTTTGCTGAATAATGAGAGAGGGGATTTTTGCAGAGTGGAAAGCCAGCATTATTCTCTGGTATCTGTTCTGGTGGATTAAAGGAAGCACAGCACAAAGATCTATTTGTGATGTCTCGAGTTTTAGAAGCCATCTGAGGTGCTCTTTAGTCCCATGTAGCGTTGCCCAACTTGGGTCCCTTTCCCGGATGGTTAGGGAAATCTTCCTTGGATGTAGAATCAGGGATTGGCGATTCAGTGAGGGGTTGATATTGTATTTATAGTTCTTCCTACGACCGGTGTTTGGAGGGGCTTTCTGTCGGCACAATGGAACATCTACTGCCCCATCTTGGGCTGACTGAACCGGCTGGTCATCCAGTTTTTGCTGCAGGCTATGCAGCTGAGAGGATAGGCCGTCAATTTTCTTAAATATACAGTTTAGAGTTCTAATTACTAGATGGAGTTGCTCACCTCCTGAGCAGTCTGTAGAATCGGCTACCAACACCTCCTTCGGATAGGGATCCTCCCCATTTGTATTATCATTAGCGTTTCCAATTTGTGGCGTCTCAGGAGCCTCATCTTTTGATGTTGTTTCAAGGGCAATTAGGGGGTCGAAACGATTTTGAGTTACTATTGAGTAGGTACATTCCTCGGTGCCTCTCCCTCCTTTAAGTGAACCCTTCCTTGATTGCTTAGGCCTCGGAGAAGATAACGCCTCGTCCGAGTCTCTTGGGCGTTTTCCATGACCCATAAATCAATTTTGCAGGGGACCCGTCGTGGGCACTGTACTGGGGAGCACCTTAAATCCTTTAGTCTTCCACACAAGAATACTGCCTTCCACTTATCTCTCCCAGGTTAGGGAGGCGGCGACAGCAGTGGTGGTAATAAAGGAGATAATGAAACAGCCCGCACGGCCAGCAGTTTGTTAAAACTCTCGGATAAAAACTCTCAGATAAAACTCTCGGATAAAAAGCCAGCACAGCCAGCAGATCATTAAAACTCTCGGATAAAAAACAGGGGAAGATAAAAACCACTTAAAACTTTGATAAGGGTAAGCGAACTTACTTAGTGACTACCTTCGTCGCCATCTTGGAATCCCCTCCGATACGGACTTCCTGTTAGCCAGATTTGCCCAATCGCTATCTGTCCTGCACATCAGCTAGCCGTCACCCTTAGCTGACAGCTTGAGACAGAAATCCTTGGTATCTGGCAAATACGCAGCACCCTATTGATACCATTCCAGGCACTCACACTCGGGTTTGTAGCTTCCTTGCTTAGCAGACTGATAGCAAAAGCAATGTCCGGTCTGCTCCACTGGGACAGATACAACAGACTACCCAGAGCTGACTGAAAAATCTCAGCATTTTTGAACTCAGCGCATTCTACTTGCTGACTATCTTTCACATAACTTGTCACCATGGGTATCCTGACCCCTGAATTCAGACATCCTGAACTTCTCAAGCAGTGATGCTGACCTGAATAAGGTATTGGTGGGGGGCCAGGTAAGGCCCTCCTTGCACAATCAATCACATGATGCATGCACACCATTTGAATGGCAATGCCTATAATGGCAGTGACTTTTTAAGAAAGTAAAATTTTGAGCCCAGCAGCTCCCCTTGCCCTGGAGAACACTTCTAGCATGTCATCTCCCCTACCTGTGTCCATTTGGTATCACCCTTTCCAGGTTTTTTCCTGTCCATTGTGTTTGTCTTTCATTTGTTCTCCTATGTGTGTTGCCAGTAGAAGCCACAATTCTGTGGGTACTCTAGGTGGTGCAGAAAACACCTAGAAGCTCCCTAGAGGTTCAAGTGCCGATAAACTTCAGTTCTGAGATCTATATATTCCAATTAGCCAGCAGAGGGTGTCACAGGGCCAGACTACCTTCCCTTTAGAGCAAACATGGGTCTCCAGCTGTTTTTGGACTACAACTCCCATCATCCCTAGCTAGCAGGACTAATGGAAAGGGATGATGGAAACTGTAGTCCAGGAGCTGCTGGGAACCCAAGTTTGGGAAACCCTGCTTCAAAGCAACTTTTGCGTTTGGCCTGCAAATATGGGACCTGTCCACTTTTGTATTTTCTTGTATTTTGATTTTATTGTGACCTGTGTACATTATTTATTTATTTATTTATTTATAGAGGGAAAATTCAAAGAGAAATTGTATGGCAAGTTGTGGAAGAATAAAAGGTTGTGTTTGGGGGGGGGGAAACCCTGGGGCGTGGCCCCCTCAGATATTTTATTGGGGGACAAAGACCCCATGGGCTTTAAGAGTTGGTGCCTAGTCCCTACACCCACAGGTCTCAGGAATGTTACAACATAAAAACACAAGATAAAAACACAAAACCAATGTTAATCAGCCAAAGGTGGAGATTTGTCTGGTTCCTAAAGATGTTTAATGGTTTTTCCGACCTTTGTATAGATTCTTTGATGGAAAGTGAGATTGGAGCTCCTCCAGAAGCTCTTTCCACATTCCACACACTAATATGTTTTCTCCCCAGTATGAATTCTTTGATGCGAAGTGAGACTGTACCTGTGACTGAAGCTCTTTCCACATTCCACACACTGATAGGGTTTCTCCCCTGTATGAATTCTTTGATGGGAAGTGAGTTCGGTGCTCCTACTGAAGCTCTTTCCACATTCCACACACTGATAGGGTTTCTCCCCTGTATGAATTCTCTGATGGAAAGTGAGACTGTACCTGTGACTGAAGCTCTTTCCACATTCCACACACTGATAGGGTTTCTCCCCTGTATGAATTCTCTGATGGGAAGTGAGATGGGAGCTCTGACTGAAGCTCTTTCCACATTCCACACACTGATAGGGTTTCTGCCCTGTATGAATTCTTTGATGGGAAGTGAGATTGTGGCTGTGACTGAAGCTCTTTCCACATTCCACACACTGATAGGGTTTCTCCCCTGAATGAATTCTCTGATGCTTAGTGAGCTCCGAGCTCGTACTGAAGCTCTTTCCACATTCCACACACTGATAGGGTTTCTCCCCTGTATGAATTCTCTGATGGGAAGTGAGATGGGAGCTCTGACTGAAGCTCTTTCCACATTCCACACACTGATAGGGTTTCTCCCCTGTATGAATTCTTTGATGGGAAGTGAGTTCAGAGCTCTGACTGAAGCTCTTTCCACATTCCACACACTGATAGGGTTTCTGCCCTGTATGAATTCTTTGATGGGAAGTGAGATTGTGGCTGTGACTGAAGCTCTTTCCACATTCCACACACTGATAGGGTTTCTCCCCTGAATGAATTCTCTGATGCTTAGTGAGCTCCGAGCTCGTACTGAAGCTCTTTCCACATTCCACACACTGATAGGGTTTCTCCCCTGTATGAATTCTCTGATGGGAAGTGAGATGGGAGCTCTGACTGAAGCTCTTTCCACATTCCACACACTGATAGGGTTTCTGCCCTGTATGAATTCTTTGATGGGAAGTGAGATTGTGGCTGTGACTGAAGCTCTTTCCACATTCCACACACTGATAGGGTTTCTCCCCTGAATGAATTCTCTGATGCTTAGTGAGCTCCGAGCTCGTACTGAAGCTCTTTCCACATTCCACACACTGATAGGGTTTCTCCCCTGTATGAATTCTCTGATGGGAAGTGAGATGGGAGCTCTGACTGAAGCTCTTTCCACATTCCACACACTGATAGGGTTTCTCCCCTGTATGAATTCTTTGATGGGAAGTGAGTTCAGAGCTCTGACTGAAGCTCTTTCCACATTCCACACACTGATAGGGTTTCTGCCCTGTATGAATTCTTTGATGGGAAGTGAGATTGTGGCTGTGACTGAAGCTCTTTCCACATTCCACACACTGATAGGGTTTCTCCCCTGAATGAATTCTCTGATGCTTAGTGAGCTCCGAGCTCGTACTGAAGCTCTTTCCACATTCCACACACTGATAGGGTTTCTCCCCTGTATGAATTCTCTGATGGGAAGTGAGATGGGAGCTCTGACTGAAGCTATTTCCACATTCCACACACTGATAGGGTTTCTCCCCTGTATGAATTCTTTGATGGGAAGTGAGTTCAGAGCTCTGACTGAAGCTCTTTCCACATTCCACACACTGATAGGGTTTCTGCCCTGTATGAATTCTTTGATGGGAAGTGAGAGAGGAGCTTTCAGTGAAGCTCTTTCCACATTCCACACACTGATAGGGTTTCTCCCCAGTATGAATTCTTTGATGGGAAGTGAGAGAGGACCTCTTCCTGAAGCTCTTTCCACATTCCACACACTGATAGGGTTTCTCCCCTGTATGAATTCTTTGATGGGAAGTGAGAGAGGAGCTTTCAGTGAAGCTCTTTCCACATTCCACACACTGATAGGGTTTCTCCCCTGTATGAATTCTTTGATGCGAAGTGAGATAGGAACTCTTACTGAAGCTCTTTCCACATTCCACACACTGATAGGGTTTCTCCCCAGTATGAATTCTCTGATGCTTAGTGAGCTCCGAGCTCGTACTGAAGCTCTTTCCACATTCCACACACTGATAGGGTTTCTCCCCAGTATGAATTCTTTGATGCGAAGTGAGAGTGGAGCTTTCAGTGAAGCTCTTTCCACATTCCACACACTGATAGGGTTTCTCCCCAGTATGAATTCTTTGATGGGAAGTGAGAGAGGAGCTCTTCCTGAAGCTCTTTCCACATTCCACACACTGATAGGGTTTCTCCCCTGTATGAATTCTTTGATGGGAAGTGAGATCGGAGCTCTGACTGAAGCTCTTTCCACATTCCACACACTGATAGGGTTTCTCCCCAGTATGAATTCTTTGATGCGAAGTGAGTTTGGAGCTATAAGTGAAGCTCTTTCCACATTCCACACACTGATAGGGTTTCTCCCCAGTATGAATTCTTTGATGGGAAGTGAGTTTGGAGCTCTTACTGAAGCTCTTTCCACATTCCGCAAACTGATAGGGTTTCTCCCCTGTATGAATTCTCTGATGGGAAGTGAGATTGGTGCTCCTACTGAAGCTCTTTCCACATTCCACGCACTGATAGGGTTTCTCCCCTGTATGAATTCTCTGATGCCTAGTGAGATGGGAGCCGTGACTGAAGCTCTTTCCACATTCCACACACTGATAGGGTTTCTCCCCTGTATGAATTCTCTGATGGGAAGTGAGATTGGTGCTCCTACTGAAGCTCTTTCCACATTCCACGCACTGATAGGGTTTCTCCCCTGTATGAATTCTCTGATGCCTAGTGAGAGAGGAGCCGTGACTGAAGCTCTTTCCACATTCCACACACTGATAGGGTTTCTCCCCAGTATGAATTATTTGATGGGAAGTGAGTTTGGAGCTCTTACTGAAGCTCTTTCCACATTCCGCAAACTGATAGGGTTTCTCCCCTGTATGAATTCTCTGATGGGAAGTGAGATCGGTGCTCCTACTGAAGCTCTTTCCACATTCCACGCACTGATAGGGTTTCTCCCCTGATGTTCTGGCCTGGGGGCCTGACTAAGCTTCCACATTCCATGCACTGATAGGGTTTCTCCCTGTATGATTCTCTGCTTAGTGAGATCCGAGCTCGAACTGAAGCTCTTTCCACTTTCCACACACTGATAGAGTTTCTTTCCAAGGATATTTTGTTGATGGGAAGTGGAATGGGAGCGCTGACTGCAGCTTTCTCCACACTCCAAATTTTCACGTGGCTTTTCCTCTCTGGGGATTTTATCGTGGTCACCTTTGTTCTTGATTTCATCATAATCTGCAATGGAGACAAAAAGGGATTAGAGCCTCAAGAACAAATGGAGAAGAAATTAAGGGAGTTCAGTGTGTGTTTCTTACCTTTGTTGTTTGTCAATAACCAACATATTTATTATCAGATTTTGTTGAGTTGTTGACTGCTGCTTTGTTTGCTATAGAGTAGTGGCCAAAATTGTGGAAGACTTTTGCAGAAAAGTGTATTTCATAGGTTTGATGGCTCATAACACTGCTTCTTTTGGAGTAATATCATACAATTATGTATCAACGGAAATTGTTCATTTACCCATATTCTATCTAATGTTATAGCCAAATAACCAGAAAAAGGAAGCACAACTTGCTTAGGTTGACTGTGTGTCTTTTTGTGGTTGGTTTTTTTGTGTTCTTGTAAAACATAATAAAATTATAGAAATGGCACAAAGAGTTGACTGGTCATCCAGAAAGCGATGTAAAATTGTACTGTTTAATGAACAATGCTACAGTTATGAAGAAACTGATGAAAGATAAGGAAAAACTTAACCAGACTGGCCATTATATATTTTTGAAGAGGTATCAGGAGACTTAGTCACTATAAAATCAGACCGGTAAAGGCAGGGAAAGGTGCACAAAGGCAAGTAACGATGGACGAGTGGAGAGACTGTCCCTACATGACAGAAGAAAATCATCTGGGTGTATACAAGATGACATGGCGCAATTTAATGTGAAGTTGAGTGCAAGGACTGGTCAAAATGTTATAATTCTAAGGAATAAGCCATTGTCATCTCACAAGCAAAGGTTGAAAAGATTAAACCCACGTTAACTGGACAGCTGAACAATGGTACAGTGTTATTTGGAGCAATGAGACCCAAATCAGATAAGATTTACATCCACTTGCATTACACCGACCACGAAACACTCAGATATTGTGTTGATCTGGGGTTGTATGGCAGCAAAAGGTGTGGGCAAAATTTACATCATTAATGGGGATGTAAATGCCCTAAAATGCATAAATGAAAGACTTGCGCGCAAACTGAAGCGTTCCTCAGGTGATCTTTTACCAAATGCTGAAGCACTTTGTCAGGGAACTGCCCTCGGTTCAGGAGGGAGAGAGGAAAAGCCGAATGGATTACAGAGAGCCTCCAGGGATCGTGGGAAGCAGCTCCCCTTCAACGGAGGAGAATAAAGACGCCTCCAGTGGAGCGGCGCTGCAGGAGTCGGAAGAGGCAAGACAGTGCCAGGACAACTTGCCTGGGCAAAGTGGGGAGGAGAGGGGTCCTCTGTTACCCACACCCTCCTTGCGCAGTAAGCATCCGCGCAGAGAGGGGAGGTGCAGACTGGGAGTCAAGAAGCTGCTTTGCTGGGGAAAGTTTAGGAACCGCCCACTCACTGATTCTGCCAACGACTGAGCCAGCCACAGGAGAGTGGCGCTCCGGATGGATAAGGTTTATTTTGGCAGCAAAAGCAAGGCTTCACAGCTAAGCAGGGAGATATTTGCCTGCTTGCTCTCGAGCAACCCCTTGGAAACATCACACACACACACACACACACACACACACACATATATATATTCTATTTTCTATTTCAACAGGATTCCGCTCCATGTCGTGTTGCTGCCGTGTGCAAAAGGTGCTTTCAAGATAAAGATATTTCACTCCCGGAACGGCCTGGGAATAGCCCAAACTTTAACCCAATCAGAAATCTATGGAGCCGACTAAAGAAACTTGTTAGTCAGAAGCAACCCAGCAATAAAGTCCAATTAACAGAGGCAATAATTTAATCTTGGTTTCACTTTATTACAGCTGCAGTACTAAAAACTTGGTTCATATCATGGGAAGGCATTGTAAGGCCTTAATTAAAGCTAAAGGTTGCCAATGGGTATGACTGCTGTTCTCATAAATACTCCTTCATAAAAGTTCTTTCATTACATTCTTCATTAGATTATCCTTCATTGATATATAATTTTATAGTATTACTCCACGCAAAAGTGGTGTTATGAGCCATCAAACCTCAGAAATACACTTTTCACAAAAGGTTTCCACAATTTTGGCTACTAGGAGAAGTTCACTTTAAAGTTAATGTTCTATTTATATGGGATCAGACTATTATTTATGTTTCATGTTTATATATGTGTTGGAATCTGCCCAGAGTGGCTTGGGCAACCCAGCCAAATGGGCAGGGTATAAATAAAAAATATTATTATTTGGATTTGTAACTGGCTTGGATTTGTAACTGGCTGACTGACCGAACCCAAAGAGTGCTCATCAATGGTTCCTCTTCATCCTGGAGAAGAGTGACTAGTGGGGTGCCACAGGGTTCTGTCTTGGGCCCGGTCTTATTCAACATCTTTATCAACGACTTGGATGATGGACTCAAGGGCATCCTGATCAAATTTGCAGATGACATCAAACTGGGAGGGGTGGCTAACACCCCAGAGGACAGGATCACACTTCAAAACGACCTTGACAGATTAGAGAACTGGGCCAAAACAAACAGGATGAATTTTAACAGGGAGAAATGTAAAGTATTGCACTTGGGCAAAAAAAATGAGAGGCACAAATACAAGATGGGTGACACCTGGCTTGAGAGCAGTACATGTGAAAAGGATCTAGGAGTCTTGGTTGACCACAAACTTGACATGAGCCAACAGTGTGACGTGGCAGCTAAAAAAGCCAATGCAATTCTGGGCTGCATCAATAGGAGTATAGCATCTAGATCAAGGGAAGTAATAATGCCACTGTATTCTGCTCTGGTCAGACCTCACCTGGAGTACTGTGTCCAGTTCTGGGCACCACAATTCAAGAAGAACACTGACAAACTGGAACGTGTTCAGAGGAGGGCAACCAAAATGGTCAAAGGCCTGGAAACGATGCCTTATGAGGAACGGCTAAGGGAGCTGGGCATGTTTAGCCTGGAGAAGAGGAGGTTAAGGGGTGATATGATAGCCATGTTCAAATATATAAAAGGATGTCGCATAGAGGAGGGAGAAAGGTTGTTTTCTGCTGCTCGAGAGAAGCGGACACGGAGCAATGGATCCAAACTACAAGAAAGAAGATTCCACCTAAACATTAGGAAGAACTTCCTGACAGTAAGAGCTGTTCGACAGTGGAATTTGCTGCCCAGGAGTGTGGTGGCGTCTCCTTCTTTGGAGGTCTTTAAGCAGAGGCTTGACAACCATATGTCAGGAGTGCTCTGATGGTGTTTCCTGCTTGGCAGGGGGTTGGACTCGATGGCCCTTGTGGTCTCTTCCAACTCTATGATTCTATGATACTACTACAGTGTTACATTGATTTGAGAACAGTTCTGTTCTGGAAAAGATTAAGTTTGTAAACCATCTTCATCATCATCATCATCACTGCTACTACTACCTGAGATTCAATAAGTCTAGCTCTTCTCTGGGATGAATTTTGTTTGGCCCAGTCATGGCATCCCCTCCATCTCCATTGTCAGTCATTTCTTTCATAGAATCATAGAGTTGGAAGAGACCACAAGGGCCATCGAGTCCAACCCCCTGCCAAGCAGGAAACACCATCAGAGCACTCCTGACATATGGTTGTCAAGCCTCTGCTTAAAGACCTCCAAAGAAGGAGACTCCACCACACTCCTTGGCAGCAAATTCCACTGTCAAACAGCTCTTACTGTCAGGAAGTTCTTGCTAATGTTTTTGATCAACCCAAGACTGACAGGAGCAAATACAAAACCAGAAAACCTGAAGCTACGTATGTGGTGTCCGGTACGTTTCCACAGCTCTCTGGGATGAATTTTGTTTGGCCCAACCATGGCATCCCCTCCATCTCCATTGTCAGTTGTTTCTTTGGTCAACCCAAGACTGACAGGAGCAAAAACAAAAACAGAAAACCTGAAGCTCCACATTTCCTGGACTTGTAGCAGAGCGGCACAGTGAGTGCTGCTTGTGTGTGTGAGCTTGCAGAACTCAGAGTCCAATACACTGCTGTTCCTCTAAATTAGAAAGCTTTATTGTATGTTCAGCAAGATAAACCATCGGAAGATGCAGACGTTGCGTCTTCCATGTCTCAGCAGAAAACGAAAGTCAGAAAGAACGAAGAAACAGCTTTCCTGGATGTTGAGAAAGATCCTCCCCAGATGCAGGACATTCTGAGCTGTTAACCCTGTAAGCTCTAAAGCTCACAACTTATCTTTCCTAACAATTCTGAAGCTGACATTGAAGATGGCCTGGGCAGTTCAGAGCAGCCTGATCGTGGTAGGAAAAGGAATAATTTGAGGAAGATTGTTCAAAGAAAAAACTGTAAGTTACTGTTTATTGTGGGGGTGTTAGGTTCCCAGGTGTTATAGGGGGCACTGTTGAGCTCTGTGAAAATATATGAGGTTGGTTCCATAGAGGTATGTTTTGAATTTCCAGGCTGATATGATGATCCCACAGGGAGCCTTACCAAGAGAGGCCACGATCCCACGAGTCTCCTCCATGACGTCCTGATGCAGAGCTCTCTGGTCAGGATCCAGGAACGCCCACTCCTCGTCCGTGAAACGAATGGTGACATCTTCAAAGCAGACTGGACCCTAAAAGAAAAAGGGAAATGTCCTCCTCTGAGACAGCAGAAATATGATCTGCTACACAATGCTCTGTTGTTTCCTTCCTGT